CTGATGTATTCAGTTGCCCAGAACAGTGCCTGGCACATGATAAGCTCTTGATAATTATTGAATGAAAAGTCTATGTAGTTTGATATTCTGTTCTTATTTGTTTAGAATGTGCTTGTAGGTTTACCTACACTTTTGTTTTCAAGTTTTCCCTCACTTAACGTTTTTGACTTGGATTTCTTCTTCAGTCCCCTCCAAAACTCTTTATTTTTTTTTTAACTGAAAACATTGGTGCATGTATCATAATTAAAACTTGTGACTTATGGGGATGCATATTTAAAGTTTTACTCTTTGCTTTTACTTGTCCAACCTGTTCCGTATTTGTTTTTCTTCCCCTTCCTCTGTGTGGTTTAACTTGAATGATTTGGATTTTTTTTCACATTTTTGTGTTTTTCTCAACTAGTTTGGAAATTATGTGTGCTTTTCCTGTAATCACCCAGTGATTACAACATACATTCTTAACTGTTCAAAATCTCGAGAAATCTATTTTAATCTTCTTCATATACAACAAATTAGAACATTTTAATTCCATTCCCACCCTCAACCCCAATCTATATATTGTTATTGTTGAATATTTAATTTTCTCATTCTCCCCGATTAAACCTTAGGAAGCATTAGTATTATTTTACACAGTTTGCATTTGTTTAAACTTACTTTTTTTTTTTCACCTGTGATTTACTATCTGGATTACTTTCCTCTTGCCCCAGATACATTCTTTACAAATTCCTCTAATGAGGTTGTCCTAGAGATTGTGTCAAGAAATCTCAGTCTGTGTTGCCTGAAATGGGTGTAGGTATTTTGCCCTTAGTTTTGACAGCAATTTTCTCTGAGACTAGGATTTCAGGTTGACTGTCATTTTCTATCAGCACACTGAAAACCTACCTCCACTGTTTCCTGGCTCCTCTGTTGGGCACCTGACTGGCTAAGTTGATATAGTGTTTGAGTCTTACTCTCAGGGTCATGGGTTTGAGCCCCATGTTGATGGGTGTAGAGCTTACTTAAAAAAAAATGGATGTAGAGCTTACTTAAAAAAAAGAGGGGCACCAGGGTGGTTCAATTGGTTAAGCGTTCAGCTCTTGGTCTGGGCTCAGGTCATGATCTCACAGTTCTTGGGATTGAGTCTCACAGTGGGCTTTTTACTGACAGCACAGAGCCCTCTTGGGGTTCTCTCTCCCCCTGCTCCCTCCTGCTCACTCTCTATCTCTCAAAATACATAAATTAAAAAAAATCAGCATAACTCCAACTATTTCTTCCTCAAAGTTCCTCTCTCTGTTTTCTGACTCCCTTTAAGATAGTCTTTCTGCTTTGATGGGATATAATTTTACTATGTGCTAAGGTGTGAATGCTTTCTTTCTTTTTTTAAAAAATAATTTATTTATTTTTAAATTTACTTCCAAGTTAGTTAGCATATAGCGCAACAATGATTTCCGGAGTAGATTCCTTAATGTATTTTACCCATTTAGCCTATCCCTCCTCCCACACCCCTCCAGCAACCCTCTTTTGTTCTCCATATTTAAGAGTCTCTTAGGTTCCCCCCCGTTTTTATATTATTATTATTTTTTTAGATCAATTGCGTCTTTAATTTAAGCATTTTCCATTATAATAAGGGCTTTCATTTCTCTGCTTGGTTTTTAATAAAAGCCTTGTGCAGGTGTCTGCAAAGCTGGGGGCTTGGAAATCTAAAGCCATGGTCAGAGCCTATATAACTTACAAATCCAGTCAATTTTGGATCATATGGTAGGAGATTAGGCTTGAGACTCTGGACAGTCTATATTACTTCAAGATTAGTCTTCGGGCACTGCCTACACAGACTGGTACTAACAATTGAAAACTAGAACTTAAAACTCCAGTGCTCCATAGCACACATGCTGTGTAAAGAACCCACTGTAAAAGAAATGATAGAATTAGAAAAATCATCATTTTGCAGCCATTAAAAAAAATAATAGGTAACAATTACCAATGAATACTAAACTGGTTAGATGAAAGACCGATGGGGAACTTTCTAAGAATCCACTGGCTGACAACACCTGAGTGGACTGTCAATTCTCACATCCCTAAAACTGGTACATGGATATTACGTGCCTGGTGTGATACAACAGGGATAGAACTTCTTACATCTACCAGTCTGTAGGAGAATGGGTGATAGAGGAAAAAAACTTTATCAATAACTTAAACACTTCATTTGTGATTTGCATGTCTTCCTTATTAAAAAAATTTTTTTTAAAGTAATCTCTACATCCAACATGGGGCTCAAACTCATGACCTTGCGATCAAGAGTCACATGCTCCACCAACTGAGCCAACTAGGCACCCCACATGTCCTCCTTCTTATAGATAACCTAGTCTAATGAAATGAGATCATTTATAATGATTACATAGTAAAACGTTATAGCCAAAAATACAAAAAGTCCTCACTTTATTTTTTATTTTTTATTTTTTTAAATTTTTTTTCAACCTTTTTATTTATTTTTGGGACAGAGAGAGACAGAGCATGAACGGGGGAGGGGCAGAGAGAGAGGGAGACACAGAATCAGAAACAGGCTCCAGGCTCCGAGCCATCAGCCCAGAGCCTGACGCGGGGCTCGAACTCACGGACCGCGAGATCGTGACCTGGCTGAAGCCGGACGCTTAACCGACTGCGCCACCCAGGCGCCCCTATTTTTTAAAAAGTACTTTTGAAAAATTTTATTTCACCAGGGTCTAATCCTTTGCTGATGTTCAAATTTAAACAATTTTTCTGAGTCTGTCTCATAAGCGAAAAACATGAAAAGTTGCTTCTGTGGCATTTTCTTCTAGTTTTTCAAGCCCTCATGTAGTAGCAACTGGTTCAAAATACTGGTTTGTTTCAAAGCATGCAGTTTAGATGTATCTTCGCTGATGATGGTGATATTTCCATTTTGTTCCTGAGCTGTCAGGTCACTTTCACTGTCAGACAGTGTACATAGTAGAATATCGTTTTCATAGGTTGGAAAATAATGCTCTGGTTGATCCCATATCTTTCTTTCAGGAAGCAGTGATGTATGTTTAGTCTCTTCCATGTGAGTCCTTAACTTTGCTTTGGACTTGAATTTCACATGGCAACTATAACATCTACATTGGTGAATTTGCCTTCGAATGAGATTGACCAATTTTACTTGCTGATAGAAATTCAATCCAAGTTCTGACTTTATTTTGAGGAGATCAAAATCGTGTGCTTCCTCCATGTGGACACATAATTTCTCAATTGTTTCTGCTTGCTTTTCACAAAATAGGCAGACAGCAGAGTCAGGGCGCTCTTCCCAATCAGACCAGTCGTCTTCCTGATGGTCTAGCAACTCCCGATCATCTTCCAACTGAACTTCCTCCCACGATTTTCCAAGTTCCAAATAATTGATGACATAAAATCGGTCATATTCTCTGTTCTTAGGATTGATCCTCCGATGTTGTTTTGTCCTCATATGATCTTTAAGCGTATTTTTGTCCCTGAAGGTCTTCTCACAGTGTAAGCACTGCAAGTTGTCAAGCTTTTTCTGTAATGTGCACAGAAATTCATTGCACTTTGCAATGTTGTCTGGCAAGCCAATGTTGAAAGCATGTTCTCTGGCCATGTGGTTCAAAAGAACAGATCTGTTCCTGAAGAACTCCTCATTGCAAAACGTACAAATACCATGAAAATTGTTTTCATTTCTTTCTTGCTGCTGTTGTTTCAGAATTTCTTTCAGTCTTTGTTTCTGAAGTTCCTCTCTAAGTACTCTATCTTCTGGTAAAACATCACATAACAAAAAGTAATTGTCTTCTTCTTCAAGTGGAGCTGTGGATTTGATTCTTATCACACTACAAAAATCTGTAACGGGCTGTTCAGTGAACCTTTTCCTCCAATATAAAATGTACCTTTGGAAATCAGCAACCTACTTGACATCAGCTGTGACCATCTTATGTTCAATAATCATGTGCTTCAGAAGTTTGTCTTGTTCGGGATGGAGAGGGAAGATGGCGGCGTAGGAGGACGCTGGGCTCACCGCGCGTCCTGCTGATCACTTAGATTCCACCTACACCTGCCTAAATAACCCAGAAAACCGCCAGAGGATTAGCAGAACGGAGTCGCCGGAGCCAAGCGCAGACGAGAGGCCCACGGAAGAGGGTAGGAAGGGCGGCGCGGCGAGGCGGTGCGCGCTCCACGGACTGGCGGGAGGGAGCCGGGGCGGAGGGGCGGCTCGCCGGCCAAGCAGAGCCCCCGAGTCTGGCTTGCAAAAAGCGGAGGGGCCTGACGGACTGTGTTCCAACAGCAAGCGCGACTTAGCGTCTGGGAGGTCAGAAGTTAACAGCTCTGCTCAGAAAGCGGGAAGGCTGGAGGACAAAGGAAAGGAGAGTTGCTGAGCCCCCTGACGACAGAGCTGTTTGGTGGGGAACAAAGGCGCTCGCCAGCGCCATCTCCCCCGCCCATCCCCCAGCCAAAATCCCAAAGAGAACCAGTTCCTGCCAGGGAACTTCCTCGCTCCGCGCAAACACCCAACTCTGCGCTTCTGCAGAGCCAAACCTCCGGCAGCGGATCTGACTCCCTCCTGCTGCCACAGGGCCCCACCTGAAGTGGATCACCTAAGGAGAAGCAAGCTAAGCCTGCCCCTCCTGCCCCTGTGCACCTTGCCTACCCACCCCAGCTAAGACACCAGATCCCCAGCATCACAAGCCTGGCAGTGTGCAAGTAGCCCAGACGGGCCACACCACCCCACAGTGAATCTCACCCCTAGGAGAGGGGAAGAGAAGGCACACACCAGTCTGACTGTGGACACAGCGGTGGGCTGGGGGCAGACATCAGGTCTGACTGCGGCTCCACCCACCAACTCCAGTTATACACCACAGCACAGGGGAAGTGCCCTGCA